GGTGTGGGTGTGTGTATGTATATTCATAACGGAAGGATTTCAAAAACAAGAACGTATATCAACTTGCCTCGTGGCTCAATTGGTAGAAAACTCCAGATGTGGTCGACGGTCCTTAGGGAATCTTAATAGGAACAATTATGTTGCTCAAAATATTAGGGGCTAAAATTTAATAGAGGCTCCGAAGGGAAAAAATGATATGTTGTAAGCCTACAACTGATTTTCTAAGACACAAAAGAAGTGTTTGACGAAAACCTATGGGAAAAGTAGGAAAGGGCGGTTACGCTCCTTTCCCCCAGATTTTAAATATTAAAAAATCTCATTTACCGTTGCCGAGTTTTTCGGTAAACACTCTTTTTGGGTCTTAAAAAAATTAGTTGTACAAAATATCAAAAGTATTCAGATGATTCATCCGAAGTGAAAAATGCAAAAAAAAAAAAAAAAATGACGCATGTGATGTCACCATGGAAAATCCTTTACCCATTGGGTTTGACAATGGCTAATGATAGTGACGACAACGATGATGATGATTGGATTAGAATGACAGTAAAATTACAAAATTATTCTACTAATTATGTCACAGATAGCGCAATTTGTTGATAGGGTGAAGTACTGTTGCGTCATTAGACCTACTTTTATCCGAAATGAGAACGAAAAATATTCAGTGTCAATACTGGATTCTGTGTATAGAAGTAATATCATGCCGCTTTTTTGCAGTTTTGCTCTAATGATGTTACGTGTGTACTCTTGCATAAATATTTCTCAGCCCTTTAAAGCGAACTATAATTAATTATATAATGAAATGTTTTTTTTCAATGATACTTAACTATCACATACATTAAGTATTAGTTGTACGTTCGTCAACAACAACATATCTTTTTATGAACATATGATCAGTCACTTCTTTTTCTAAGCGTATGCTTGCCAATAGTGTTTCTTGATTAAACTATTTGTAATATACCTCAGCGAGTCAAAGCTGTATAGGAGTTAAAATGATCTGTTATTTTTGCTTCTTTCAATGGAATATTACTAAAAAATAACGTGAATGAATAAATAAATTAAATCTAAATAACACTTCGTATTAGGTCTTTGGAAACATACGATATTATTTTTCTTGATTTTCATAAAATATACGACTGTGACATTACAGCACTTGAGTTGTGTGACGTGGCTCATATTGAATCACACTACTTCTCTACTGTGTCATAGTTACACACGTCTCACGCAATTATACAAATTATACATTTATTCATTTATTCATTGCACTGTGCTATTTATTGATGTTTCAGAAATAAAGTTGGTAATACATGTGACATTTGTCACATGGAGATTTCTGGAAAAAATTGTAATTCGGACAGTTCATTTCAGGTCACTGACCATAAATTTTATGTTATCATTAACACATTATTAACATTTATTTAACATTTTCCTCAGTGGCACAAGGCCTATGTACATGACATAAAAATTCAGTATCCAGTAAATGAAGAAAGAAGAATACATTATTTATACAAAGTCATGATATCCGCAGCAGTGTCTACGAGAGTTACATGGGGTGGACCTTGGTGGGGGGAGGATAAAGTGGGGATCGATTATTACTTGAGGGTGGGGGGGGGAAAGAAGATTAGATGATCTCAGACCTGATATTGTAATTTCGTTGATTTTCTCCTACATAAGGCTGCCGGTGAACTATACCCCCGCTTTTCTCTTAGAACTTCATTACTTGGGTATGTGACAGTGGCGTAACGACGAGTCATGGGGCCCGGTGGCGATAAAATATTGGGTTCCGTGTGTCAGTAAACTGTTTTTGTTGAAAAGATGTCATTTAAGTACCGGTATTCTATTGAATATTCAATCATAAATCAACTTTTGTTTTCACACACAAAAATCGTCATTCATTTTATAGTTTTTGGTATTTTGATAGGTTAAGGCAAAGATACTAGAAATACAAGATAGAGCACTTGCATTGATTCATGATTATGCTTTAATTGTTTTGTGTTTTATTTGGATAATAACAACGATTTCTACCGCCACCAATGAGGTTATGTATTCACCGATGTTACTGTCTGGGTGTCTTTTCCAGTTTTGTTTAATATCTAGTACTTTGTTGAGGATTGATAATAAAATACGCGACGACTTGGTAACGAAAGTTTGGCAGAAGTTTTTTTAGATCCAGCTGTAGGGGGCGTCCCATTGTTTGTATTCCCACCATGCATTTCGGTGGAACACTTTTTTGTGTGGAGAACCGTCTTGTATTTCTAGTATCTTTGGTTAAGGCTAGGATTCAGAGCACCTCGATGCCCCTTTTGACTGGGAGCCTAGGCGTTTCGATAGCATCTTGTATTTTTTCCCGCAATCTACAGAAAGCTAGCATCTGTTCCATCCAAGGTCATACCCATTGAAAATTAATTTGTTATAGCATTATAACAAAGAGTATTGTGAATTATATTACTCTTGATTACAATCATTTTAATTAATAATATCAAAGAGTATAGAATTATTCAACAATTGATTATTCAACCATAGATTAATGTGCATCCTCATTCATTTGATCTTGTTTGGTATTTGATGTCTGTCAAGGTCACTTTGAAACTCCATCAATAGTTTCATATTTATATTCATTTATAATGCACCATTCAGTAAGTAAAAATGTACTATAGATCAACACTGGTTTAAGGCTAGGATTCAGAGCCCTTCTGGTCTCATTTTGAGTGGGGCCCGGAGCGTCACCCCCAAGAGCTCACTGGCGTTACGTTACGCCGCTGGTTTGTAAGAAATATACACATGACCCTCATTAAAATAAGTATTTATATGCTTCAGGCTTTGTCCACCTAAAGTTAGAAACTCTCATGATTCTTCCATCTCATTTTCTCCACTGCTTGTCTCGTCCGCTATTGTACCTTCTCTTCAATCGCGTAAGCTCCCTCTTTTCTTATTCCATTGCGTGATTTCGCGCCACTCCGTAAATGGGCCTTCTCCTTATCAACTTCTATCCTGCATCCGTGCTATCTAATCCCATCTTTATGTTGCCTTCATGATCTTTAATTTACATGTTTGACTTATTTTTTCTAACATTATCTCAATAACTGTAATTTGCAGTATGTGTACAAGGACACTCCTGATTATCGTTACAGATTTCTTTATGACCAATTTTGAAGACTAAGGAAAAAGAATGCGTGAATACTGAAATAAGATCATTTGAAGATTTTGTTGTATTGGTAATTAAGATTCGTTTAGCGTTATATAATACCAAGTCGACCCACTAAATCACAAGGACTATATGCAAATGAGATTGATTCAATTTGCATACATATTGCATAATTAAGAATGGACAGCAAAATGGCCAATTGTGAAAAGTAATTAAGGAAAGTTCATCAGAAACACTCCAAACTACACGTCTTAAGTAGTTAAGTAGTTTCAGTAATAATTTTTAGCAGGTATTTCGGCCTATATAGGCCTAAGTAATTTTCCACACACTCTACATTCATTGTGTGTTTTGGCTAAGAAAAGAACCGTTGGTACTACGCAATCATGTTTTGTATTCTTATGTTTTTCCTTGTGGCATTGCTTTCACAGGTGAGTGTTGTACAAAGTCCTCCTGTGCTAGCTAGGTGGGCACTCACTGCGCCCGACAATCGTTGGCCGACGCGATTCTATGCTGAACGCAGCGCAACAGCACGCGTGCAACGGATCGTTAGAGTCTGCCACCGACAATCAGCATGTCGGCGTCGCGTCGTCTAGCGCTCACAGGGTGCGGAGTTGGATTCGTCGTGCGACGGTCGTAGGACCAGTGGCGTATCCAAGGGGGGGGGGAACCCCCACACAAAAAGCCTGCGCTCCCCCAGCCCCCATTCGAAAACTTCGAAGCAAAAAAAATTAGGCTAGGCTTATGCTTATGCTTATGCTGTCAAGGTTAACGTGTATTTGGGAATCTAAGAAGCAATATTTTTCAGTGGGCGTGGCCACGGAAAATAAATTCCACGCCCCCTCATATTTTGGTCGCGCCCCACCATTTTAATACTGCTAGATACGCCACTGCGTAGGACACGATGAGTGTTTAGCTGTTGCGTATTCTTAAAAGGAAATAAGAATTGTGAAGGCCTTTACAAATTATGATTATAAGCAATGTTGGAACACCGTTTAAATAACTAGTTTGCAACATTTATACTGTAATTGCTGTTACTTGGCGTTTTAATTGGTACCGTATATATTACTGTACCTAAGACATGTTGTCTCAGATATTACACAGTAATTATATTGAAAATATTTGTAGGCCTGTGATAAAACTTTTTTTAGAAACTTTGACGAACATTTTTTTTTGTCTGCAAGTCAGTTAAGGGTAGGAAAAATAGTTAAAAATACATAATTATAATAATATAATAATTTACAGTACGCAATAATTGAAAATATTACGTTGAAAGTATTTTTAGACTATCTTAAAATGAAATATAAATATTCCAGGAGATTCATTGTCTGACTGCCAGCGAGAAGACCCTCATTGTTTCAACACACAATTCTTATAGAAAGAATGTATCACCACCAGCTGCTGATATGACGGAACTCGTAAGTATAGCAACCTCCGTTAAATATTTGAAAAACGTAACAGAACAGTGGTGTTGAACGAAATAAAATCCAGCCTTGACGAAATGTTGGTTTCTTGCATAACTTATTCAAACCATTCCGCTAAGTATTGCTATTGTTGTTCTTGTTGTTGTTCTTGTTGTTGTTCTTGTTGTTGTTCTTGTTGTTCTTCTACTTCTTCTTCTTCTTCTTCTTTGTGTTGTTGTTGTTCTTCTTCTTCTTATTATTATTATCTATGATATGAAAGTGCTTTAATTAAATGTATAATTTGACTTACATTGTCAATTTGAAATAGTATCTTAATTACTATTTTTCGGGCGCCACAAGTGTAAAGCTCTGCTTGTTTGTGGTTGCCCTTTCCATTTCCATTTTTATATCTGTACTGTTTATCTATGCTTTAAAAAGATTTGGAATCAATTTATTTTGAATTGAATTGAAGTCAGCCCCTTGAATATTGTTCTTAATGTGTGCTACCTAAAACTGTCCAAACGTATTTCTGGATAATTTTCAACGGTTAAGTTTGATTGACACTCCGGTAAAGTCCATTACATAAAAAGTTTTGCGCGTGATATGTTAATGAGGCTATGTGGTGCATTGTAGCCAATCATGAGATGAAAACCTGATCTTTCTTATTAAAATATAGTGGGATGAAAGCTCAAATTTACTTTAAGAATTAACATTCCTTTTTTCACTTGAAACAACAGGAATGGAGCGACGAAGTTGCTGGAGTTGCCGAAGCGTGGTCTGCTAAATGTATCATGTCTCATAACCCGAATAGAAATGGGTATGGAGAAAACATGGCGATGTCTACAAAGCCATATAGAGGTGGAGAACTTCGCAAAGCAGTCAAAGCATGGTACAGGGAATTCAAAAATTATAATTACACTACTGGGGGTTGCGAGGGGGTGTGTGGACACTATACACAGGTAAATAATACATCTGTGAACACGGTGATATTTCATGAAATTAAGGAAAACAGACCCAAAGGAATTTTATATTAGTTCATTATCTGCACTGGAAAACATTGCGCTAATGAAGTCAGTTACAGTTCCATAATTTCGTGATTTAGCACCTAAACGCGTACCGGTACATTGCACTTTATTATAGCCCTCTATTTTTGGGAGATTATTTTCACATCACTATGTCCCTTGTATTCATGAGTTCTTTTCCATTGAGGGGTTTAGCTTTGTGGTTAGATGCATGGATTTCAATACCAGGTTTCTGTGTTACAGCAGCGCTTGTTTCTCCCATGACTAAGAAACTCAGAGCCTCAAAACGATACTATTGCTAGTATAGAAAGTAGGCCTACTAGGCCTAATATATGTCCTTTTATTTATGAAGGTCCCGTAAATATCAGCTAACCTGGGATAAGGTGGAAGGGTGACCTTATAATATGGTTTAAACGAACATCATTCAGATACTTAATTTACATTTCTTTTCTGTTTTTTTTAAATAATTATTACTGTATTTTAGGTGGTAGATACTAGGAGCGTGAAGATTGGCTGCGCTACCAACAGGGCTCCATGTTCCGGTCCTTCGTTTCCTTATCGACTTTTCTGTAATTATTCACCGGCGTAAGTAATTGTTCGCATCAGTAAAATCAAAATACAAAATGAGCTTCTTTATTTTGGGTCTTGTAAAGCTTGGTTTCCATACAATCGCTACACGATATCGCCGACAGCTTTCGGCGATGCTGATTGGTCGGTTAAATCGGGGAGCCTTCTTTCGTCGACAGTTAATCGTGGTTTCCATACAATCGCTACACAGTCGCTACACGGTTTTCACTGCAATTCTTGCAAATATGTAGCTGTCCCCGACGAAATCAGGAACCCTACCTGATTCAAATGACCAGTCAGCGTCGCCAAAGGAGTTAGGGAGCGTGTAGCAATTTTTATGGAAACCAGACTTCACGCAGTAGGCATACAACGATTGCAACACTGTAACGACAGTGCAGTGATTTTAAGAGACCACGCTTTATCAGTGGTGCCCGGATGCCATGAATTCGTGTCCGTCCGGCGTAGGAGCTTTCGCTTGGGTGACGCCTTTGAGATCGCAATGAGGAGTCACGTAGACACATTGTGCATGCGAGGCGTAGAGTTATTGTTGTGTCTGAATTTTAAAGATGCATTCATATCGGATCCGAACCGAAAAAAAATCGGATTCGGTATGAATGGACCGTATAGCTAGTATGGCCCAAAGTTACGTTGTGAACAGAACGCAGAAAGATCACGGATGTAGGAATCCGTCCAGGGTCACGTCATCGTGCAAATTGAAAGCGCCCTAATTTAAATGTTGAACTGTGGATCAAGAATGTTTTGTTGTACTATAATGTTGTGCACCGTGCTATGAATATGCTATACTTTTAAATATATAGAGCCACCAATCGTTAATGTCGTTTGGTAGGCCTTGCAACTTAGCGCACTTGATTATAATCAGGGCAACAAAATGTTACATCGATTTCGCCTCTATTCAAAGTTCCTATATACTTAAAATTTTGCATAAATTATTATATAAGATATATCCATGGTAAATCGTTATTTATCTGTGGAACTCACTGCGTATGACAGAAATTCCATGCATTTAGGTCTAAAATCGAAGGATCTGCTGTCTTCACTTAGGCCTATATAGTACTGTCATCTTGACTCAAGGTCACTGGCACCAAGGATTGTCCAATTGTATAGTGTTTCTTATGACAACTAGGCCTACAGTAAGCCATTAAGCTTGTCCCTTTTAGCATTTACCACTTAAATGTTTAGGTCTGCTTACAGTATTAACACTACTTAATTTATTCAGAGGAAATTTCAATAATCAGAAACCGTACCAAACTGGAAAGAAGTGTACCAGATGTCCAGATAATGCCAAGTATTGTAACAACGGATTTTGCGGTAAATTTTGCATTACGTAATATCTATATAATTTAATCCACTGCTTAGAATTCAATAATTTATATCTTTAAAAAAATTTTTATTTAAAGCTGTTTACTTATTACTGAACTCATAACAATCTTATAATCATCTGTTTGACATAATCATACAGTGTAATACCAAAGTAATTGCACACAAAGTTCAACGTTTATTCTTAATTATATCGTTTTTTTTTCTTTCATCATAAAACCAAATTACAATCGATACATTTATGTCAGCCTATTCCATATTAATCATCTAAAGGAAAAGTCCAAGACCAACAATTATTAAAAACTATATATTATCAAAAGAAAATAAATCTTTTTGATTACTTCATTGTTTTTTTTTTATATATATTTAACAGTTGATTGTACTGGCAGCGATTGTCGTAAGTACACATGATTATTAGGTCTATTAACACCGTAAATATTAAGATGAATTCAATTCAAGTTATTCCATCAAAAAGCACCAACATACAAGCAAATCGGGATGAACCACACAAACTAAAATGTCACAAATGCTGGCCTAGGGACTCAAACACGATCCTAATCACTTTCCAAGGGATGTTCCAACCAGCAAGATCAAACATGGTATAAATTAAGACAAAAACGTTTCTTCTTTGCCCATCATGAGATATCATGAGCCTTGACTTTCCTGTTCTTAATTTCTCTGAAACTGAAGGTTCTTCAGTACCGTACTCAATTCAGGTCTGAACAGTTGGAGAGTCTTCCTCAATATCTCCTGGCTGTTCGTGTACTTGTGACTCTTTTTTCTTCTTGTATTTTTGTCGGTACTTGTTGAAATGTCAAAAACCACTGAATAGGCCTACGATAATTTGTGTTATTTCATAAGGATTGTTCATATTTCAATAGAGTGTAAAAGAAAATGTGCAAATGGCGGTGAACTTCAAAGAGATTCGTGTACCTGTATCTGTAACGACAAAAAAGGATTCTATGGACCGTTCTGTGCAGGTGTGTACTTCAATTTCTTAAAAAAAAAAAAAAAAAAAGAAAGATATTACGCGTTGTTGGAGCGGTTGCTGTTCCGTCTCTCAGAATTAGGGTCAGAGTTTTGAATCTTCTCTGTGCGTTTCACATGGGCTTTTGGGCAAGACAGTTTATTCATTGTCCTTCTCAATCCAGTGAGCATCTGGTAGGGTCAATACCGAGTTTTTACGCGGGAAATGTGTTCACATTTTAAAAATGTGTCCACTTTTAAAAATAGGTCTACATTTGCTACTAATTCATTTGTAACTAATAAGGGTCCCAATTTTTAAAATGATCAAAATTATTTATACGCAAGAAATGGGTCCACATATTAAAAGATAGGTCCACTTTAGTTCGGATTTCTTGTATAAAAAAGTTTAAAAATTAAAATGGGTCCAATTTTTAAAATGCGGGTCCACATTAGTTAGAATTAGGTGTAAAATAGGTCCCAGTTTTTAAAATACTCCACATTATTCAGTTGATATGGATTAAATGGTTCCACTTTTTAAAAGGTGGATCCACATTAGTTGAGATTTTACAGTAGGTGTAAAATGTGCCCCAATCCTTAAAATGGTCCACATTATTCAGTTTATATACGCATGAAATGTGTCCATATTATTTGGTAGATTTTATGCATAAAATAGATAATTTTTTTTAATTGTCCACATTATTGAGTTTATACACATTAAATGGGTCCACTTTTTTAAATGTGGGTCCACATTACTCAGATTTTTTTGTGCAAAATCGGTCTGAGATTTTGAAATAATCCACATAACGCAGAGGTACGCTGGGGTCGATTTTAAATTTTGAACATGTTTAAAACGTTGTTCAAAACGTACGGTATGACAACGTTCTGCTCAATACGCTAAGCATACGGTACCGTAAGCATTCGTTGAATAAGACAGTGTATTGCGAAAATAATAGAAAAATAAATTATTCAAAATTTCTTATCAATGAAATAACTATATGAATGAATTCCTCTATAAATTATAAAGTCCAAGAAAACTTAGCATATTATATACTGTTATATTATTATACGAGTTGTTGACAGATATTGTGGAATACTTTTCATAAAAAGATGTAGAGAATTAAATTGCAGGCCTAAATGTAATTTATTAAAACATGTGTTATTAATACCAAGGGTACCAGACGCTTATTCCTAATTGAATAAATAATCACGAACACGTTATATACGGTATTGCAATATGAATAACAATGAATAGGGCTATTACATTGTATACGAGTTGACAGATATTGCGAAATACATTATAAAAAAGATATAGGCCTGATTAAATAAAACATGTGTTATGAATACATAGGGATAATATGCCATGAATTACTTAAATAAAACTATTAATATATCGTTTTAATTAGGCCTACAATTTAATATGTTAGAGTTTCGAATAACAGACTGCTGGTAAAGTTTTTTTTTATTAAGTCAATTAATTGACAAACAGACCATGGAGGACAAATCTACTGGTAATAAATGTATAGGGCCTACCTTATAGAGCAATAAGAAACAAAGTGGGGTGGGAGAATTAATGTTAGAATGAGGCCTACATTTGTACTACTGGGGTCTAGCTCAGGACCTACTGCGGCCCCCGTCAGGGTGCAAGGACAAAGGCCAGGGAAATATCAGCAGTTTGATTAGATATAATAGACTGATTTGAGTGGTTTTTATATTTAGTCTTATAATAGTAACACTTCCAGAGAGCGAAGCGATCAATGAGGTCTTTCGGAAGACAGAGACCCACGCTTTTGATGCCGGTTTGAAAGATTTTTGTCCTTGTTAATACGACGTCTCGAGAAATAATTACGAGCTCAAGTTACAACCGATTATCTGGGAGCAGAGGATTGCAAAGTGTGCGATTAAGGTCCAGTGTAGGGGGAATAAAAAGCACCAAGGGAAAAATTTGACGGTTCTGAATAAACATGTAAAACATTATAATTGTAATGTATCACGGCAAGTTTGGAATTAGCGACTTAATCTAATATTCATTGTTGCTTTCTCACTGGAATTGTTGATTTCGTGAGTGACGTGCGTGAAAATCATCCCCTCCTCCTCGAAAAGCCTGGAGACCCCCACCAAGTCGTACGACGGCACAACAAGGTCGCCGTCGAACTAAAATATTAATTTAAATAATTATTTTCTGTTTCAATCCAAAAGTTATTGTGATGCAAATCCCTAATTTTGTGGTCTAAAATTACAATTTGAACCCCACCATATAATTTTGCCCAAGGACCCTAAACCATGAAAGCCCCATTTCACTGAGGCCCTCTGTAGTTACTGCATGTATAATTTATTATTTTAACATTATTAACAATTTTAAATTAAAATGTTCATTATATATAGATAAATACCGGTACTATCAATCACAGAATTTTAAATGTACATTGCTTTAATTATTAGATTTTTATAAGGGGGAGGTGCCCATAAAGTTGGGGTCCTGTGGGAGATCTGGGCCCTGCTTTAATGAATCTTCTGAACCTGCGGTAGATACGCCGCTGATTGGTCCACTCAAACTGTCCCACACTGTTTGAAAATCCTGGCTACTGCATTGGGTTAATGGCAAATATGATTATTAGCTGCTGCAACGTTACTGAGTATGTTTCATAGGTGCCGACCGGGATAATTAATGAATCTGAAGCGCATAGAGGCATTAGGTATGATGCACTATACTAATACTATACTATTGTTGTTATAAAGCGATTTTACCTAAACATTAAAAAAGCTATTTACGCACAGGTATTTGCTAGTAAAATTAAGCCACTGTTTTAGAAATAATTTACACCTTGTATCTTTGATTGCAGTCAGTAATCTGTAACTTACTCACCGTAATCTGATTTTCAGATTCGTGCATAAACAATGCTCCGTGTACCCCATACTTAACATGGGACAAGTCCGTTGTTTGCGCCAAACAGTACTTCATTGACCAATGTCCACTCAAGTGCAACTCAGACTGCAGTAAGTAACTTGAACTGAGGCCTAATAAAGAACATATACCGGTACATTGTATATAAATTATATATATATATATATATATATATATATATGATATATGTATATATATATATATATGATATATATATATATATAATTTTAAATTTAAATGTTCATTATATATAGATAAATACTATCAATCTAGAATTTTATATATGCATGTATTTTATATATATATATATATATATATATATACATATATATATTATATGTATGTATGTATATTATATATTATATATTATATAGGCCTATATATAATTTATACCACTGCTTAGTTTACTGAATTCAGCTGCGACTAGCGAAAGTTCTCCCTGGCCCCACTGTGTGAGGGCGTATATCATTTGTGCATTGAAGCATATCTAGCTGGACTGCCATTTAATACCAACAACAGGTCTTCGTCGTCTAGCGGTATAGTAGCCAAACGCTCGCTTGATAGACGGAAGTCACATGTTTAAATCCCGAGACCCGATGAGACATTTTCACACATATTAATATTATTATCAACCAATTTTTTACCATTACCATTTTAATGATGTTACTAAGTATATATTTTAATTGTTTTTAATTTAGAAAATGCCAAGTCGAGTTAGCTACTACCGAACCAGTACGCCACTGTGCTACAAATCTACAGACCGTTATATTTATACAAGATTCTGAACAACACTGAATGCGAAGTTATTCGTATCGTCATTATGCTTTTTATTATATCAATATCAAATTTATGTTACATCAATATAATAGTTTGTAGATCTATAAGACTAAAATTAGAATAAAATCATGGTAGTTAGACGGTCTAATGTTTAAAAGTATAAACAGACGTGGAATAAAAAAAAAATCTAGAAATGTTTGTTTTTGTTTCACTTCATGATAATTCATAGATTTTGCAGAGTAAACCTACATTCATATCGGTTCCGAACCGCGTTTCCGATGCGCCGAACGCCAGCGTCCATATTCTTACATAATTCGGATTTCGGACCGGTTCGGTCTTTCCGGTCCGAAAATTCGAATTCTGTGTGAATACGATATTCGAAATTGAGTGTTTGAGTAAGAACTTAAAATAGAGATAGTTATGAATGTGACAGTTCCAAAGACGTCACGGGGTCGCACAATAGAGAATGACGTTCCCCCTTTACAGGTGAGTTGTGAGAATGGAGGGTTTGGTGTTGTTGGGGTTTCAGAGCATTCTATTCGCCTGGTGCATGAATGAGGTGATTAATTACATAGTTAATTTCCCTGTTGTGATTGGTAAATGAAAATTTGTGTTTTAAAGACAATGCGTTATTTGGCAAGCAAATAATAAATCTGATCGAAAACTGGTGCTGCTTTAAGCCGGGCGCTCATTGCGTCGTACGCGGCGGTCGTACGACCGTCGGCCGATGAATCCAACTCCGCTCCCTGTGCGCGCTAGACGGCGCAATGCCGTCTGCTGACTCTCGGTGACAGTCTGACGATCACGAGCGTCGTGGCCCATTGCGTTCTTCATGAAATCGCGTCGGCGCATTACGTGCCCGGCTTTGGGCGGGGTCTCCGGGGACCCGCGGCAGCGCAGCCGCAGTGCAGTGCCGCGCTGATTATTTAAGTAGTTAAGCATATTATAATTAATTCAGCAAAACTAATTACTAACTTGGTCGAAAGCAGATTGCTGATTCATAAAATTCATCTAGTTAATAATATTTTATCATTTTAATATTCTTTTGGACGTGGCAGTCTCAGCTGGCTGCTGTTGACAATTAGGACCATAACACATTATGTGTTTATGGAAACATGAATAATTAATGTACAGTAATCAACTTGCGTCATTAGATAAATCTGTTGTACATATTTACAGTGAAGGACGCACAACAGCAAAAAAAAAAGTGTCGTAATGCTCACTTCGCCCGACGGTTGTCGGCCGACGCGATTCTTGGAGAACGCAACGCCACGACGCACGTACAACTATTTTTATTAATGACGATACGTTTAGACTGCCACCGACAATTAGCAGACGCCGTCGCGTCCTTGAACGTTCACAGGCCGACTGTCGTAGGACGGTCGTACGACGCAGTGAGTGTTCTAGCTGTAGATTTATGGCTCCAGCAATATGCGAGGAGTTTAATATAAATAAAATGCTTGTATCTGTCCAATAACAACACGATACTGCAAACTGGCAAAGCTGCTTAAAATTGGCTGTTTTATCATAATATATTTATGGAATGAGTACATTTTTATTATTTTTGTGACACTCAATTAGCAAGTAAATGTGACCTAACTTCTATGGAAACAAGTAATCGGACTGCTATTCCGTGGTATCCATTTATAAGTTACTACCGTATTTTTAATAAATAATTTCAACAGTTATGTGTTGTAATTTTCACTGTTGTGTTTCGTTTTTTTTTTTTTTTTTTTGTACTACAAGATTGATAACTGTCTCTTATACACATCTAGATGTGTATAAGAGACAGTATATATAGTGTATAGAAATATATACGGTATACATATAGGCCTATATATAGAAATATGTGCTATTGAAAAAATTAACCTTTATTACAAAGTAGGCCTATTTAGTGTACTAATTGAATATAAGTCGGATTTTTAATTTGAATAGTTTAGCGTAATTTAATTAATTCTTTAAAACTTATTACTAATCTTTTCGAAAACTGACAGCAGATTAATAAATTAATGCTGTCCAGCTGGTCTCATGGCAATAAAAATTAGCGGTTTGTCTGCGGCCATTCTGTAACATTATACGCGTTCATATTTTATATTTTATGATGATGATGATGATGATGATGACGATGATGATGATGGCGTCAGTCGACAAGGATTATGACAGTGATGATGATGACGTCGTCGACAAGGACGATAATGAAGATGATTGTTTTAGTTGTAATAATGGTGACTATTTTACTGGTGGTGATGATGATATTGATGACGATGATCATAACGATGATGGTAATGATGATATTTATTTTACGAACAATATCGCACGTGTCCACAACAGGGATTTGCCGAGATTACGTGGCTTATATTCCGTGATAGGGCCCTCTATTGTTTAAATACTTCAAACCAGAAAAACATGAATTAGGCTTATGTGGATTTATATTATAATAGAAGTTACAATAACAAAATTTATGTTTGACGTAAAACATACAAAATATCGCGTTTTCATCCTGTGTTAGGCCCACTACTGTTTAAATCTTAAAGCATGAATAATTTCATTACCATATGAGTTACATAACATTTGTATTTTAAGATGTTTACAGTGAACAATAAGTAAACACAACACTTTTATGTAAGCTTACGAGATTTATTTATTTGCTTATTATAATAATAGCAATAATACTGTTCTTCGGAACTTGTTTTGGTACAGCACATCATTCAGTTTAATTGAAGCTTAATGGACCATTTTTTTCGGATTGTCAATCAAACTTAACGACTAACCAAATATGACCAGGAACACGCACATGTGCCACGAGTAGACATGTTTACTTACGTCTACCTTGTGAACATGGCGGGACTTAGTGGAAAGGTCCATTACAATGAAAAAAAAATCATATCCAAACTTTTAAAAGAAACCAATGATTTTTATAATAATATCAATGGTCGATTTATAGAGCGCATGTTGTAGCAGGCGTGAGTCCAGGCTTTCATTTTCTTTTTTTTCATTTCATTAATTTCGTCTCAATAAAATACATAAAAAACAACAACCGGTTACAATACAACAAAGTAAAAGCATAAAATATCTGAAACAGGCCGAGACAAGAAGCAGACCGCTGCGCCAAACCGCTCCTCCTTACTGCAGAATCCTTCATTCCAATGTGTTCATTATTAAAATTTAAAATTATTTAATTCCTTTTTTATTATTCTTGATTCTAAAATTATTAATATGAACTTTATTACGTAAAAATTTATATTAATATGTTGTACATATGATGCCATTTGAGGTTTAAAAGAATATAACGATGGTAGATTTCGACTATTTAAGATAAAAATGTCAACGAACTAAACAAACACCTCATCATTTTAAATACTAATATTCGGCATTGCTTTTCATGTAAATTACAGTTTTCCCGAGACAGGGATTGATAATTATCTATGATAAGTCTATTCCCGTAAGGATGAGAGGTAGTGAGTTCACTGGCAATATCTCTAGGAAAGTGAATTTTTGAAAAAGGATAGTAGAGGCTTCGCTAAATTATGTCATGTTTAGACCTGCCCAGAGTACCAATCAAACTGAATTGACCAATCACAACTGGATGAGAAACACCAGCAGGTCCCACAACAAGCACACAACATGTTTTTTTTTTTGTTTTTTTTTTTTTTTTTGACGCACATTGTTTACGCTGTTGTATTTTGGAGGACCTTAGCAACAATATCCAAGGGGCGGAGCTTAGTGGAACGATCCATTGTTAGGCCCAGCAGCCCTATCAGCATATTCCTAACTTTTTTTGTGTGTTTACCAGTATTTAAAAAGACCCAACATTTTAGAATTAACAGACGTGGATATTGCTTATTTGAGAAAGGGTGCCTGGAACAAAACAGACATGAGCGTCTTCACTTTGTTATTGGTGTTGTTGTACATGCAGGTGAGATTCCTACTTTGATAGTTTATTCTAAAAAAAAAGCATGATAGGCTTAATACAAGTATAATTAAAATATCCTATAAATAGGCCTACATATGTTGGTCTATGTAGCATTGTTAATAGGGTAAGTATATTTTCTAAACCAGTTTTTAAAAATTAATCATAACAGTTAAATGAGTTTCTTAATTATCTTTTGCATGTTTCCACAGTGGTTTTAATATTTCGTTTAATTAAAATATGTTATCTGTTTAGCATAATGAAGGTAAGTACATTTTCTAAAATAGTTTTTCGAAATTACTTGAGTTTCTTAATGATCTTGTGCATGTTTCCCTTCATGTTTTTAATATATCATTTTCATTAAAAATATTATCTGTTTAGCATTATGAATTGGACAATCATTTTCTAAAACGGTTTTTCAAAATTACTCATTACAATTACCGGTATTCAAGTTTTTTGACGATCTTTTACATATTCTCTTCCTTGTTTATAATATTTAAATATCATATTATCATTAAAACTAAATTTAGTTTTAATGATAATGGTTGGAGATAATTAGGCCTATATGTGTCCGTAGTATCAATTTAATAAATATTAGGTTATAGATGGTGAGATAGGCCTACAGATACATTTGTTTAAGTGTCTTTCTGTGCAATTTCGGTATTTTCTTATGTTTTACAGAGTTGTTCATGCTTTACAGACGACGAAAAGCAACAGATTGTGGATAAACATAACAACTACCGTCTTAACGTATCGCCATCAGCAGGCGACATGCGTAAACTTGTGAGTAGATAGAGTGGTTCATGATGTTTTATAAGCCGGGCACTCACTGTGCCGCAATTCTATGGAGAAAACAACGGCACGCGACGCGCGCGCAACGGATCGTTTTTATGGACGATCCGTTCAGACTGCTAGCGTACCTACAAGCAGCAGACGGCGTCACGTCGTCTAACGCTCACAGGTAACGAAGTTAGATTCGTCGCACGGCGCCGTGAGTTCCCGGCGTTATAAGGTTTTAACTTAATGCTAATTAGGCCTATACTTTTGTGCTAGAGTAGGCCTAATTTCAGTTGTTAGCAGCAGTTTCAAATTTATCGTATACCGGAAGCAAATGGTTCATGATAGCAGTTGTGCCAGTAGATTTTCTGCTGATTCCTTCATTCGTAGGGTCCGACGTTCGTCTGATCTGTAGGTGCCACAGAACACAAAATAACTTTTAACATTATTTAAGCTTTTAAGTGTCATTTTATCAACGTGCAGAGGATTCTTGTGATCTGTTGTTACAGAACACAGAACAACCGGAAAATGGCAGGGTCACATAATCGTTCAAAAAACCATGAGCTTATATCATTTATCGTTTCTGCAAAAATTGGCCAATTTTTTACCTAGTCGTTTTACTACTGATTCTTACATTATGGTACCTAAGAATCATGAAAATATCGATTGTTTGATTTAACCTTGTTCATCATCTTTTTTAGCGTTTAAAAGTTTAATTTCCCAAGATTCGGACACAAAGATTAACTGAGTGTCATCCTATTTAACATTATTTAACCTTAAAACTCAAGCTTTAAGTGGCATTTATCAACCTGCAGAGTATTATTGTGATCTGCATGTGCCACAGAACACAAAACAACCGGAAAATGATGGAGTACACACACACACACAAAAACTTAAGTTAGGCCTATACGCTTTACGTTGCTGCGAAAATTGGCCAATTTTTCAACTAGTCGTTTTCCTGTCAATTCTTACATTATGGACCTAAGGATCATGAAAATGCCGAAGGTTTGATTTCACCTTGTTTAACAACATGTTCTTAACGTTTGAAAGTTATAATTTTCAAATGCGGAATGAGTATCATCCGATTTAACATGATTTAAACTATAACTAAGATTTATGTGGAATTTATTAACCTACAGAGTATTCTTGTGATCTGTAATTGCCACAGAAACACAGAACAACCGGAAAATGGCGGTCAAAATTATCCAAAACATTTTTTTAGCGTTTAAATGTTTTAATTTAAACGCTAATTTATCTTGGCAAGGCCACATTGATTATATTGTTAAAAAGTGTAATATGAGGATCTATTTCTTGAAACAACTCTGCAGAGCTGGCCTGGACCCTCAGTCTCTAAAATATTTTTATTGTTCAGTTATCCGATCTATAATTGAGTATGCTTGCCCTCTCTGCACAGTGCGGCCCGCCAGCGATTTCTTTGCGGCCGTGAAAATGAATTAAAAAACCCTATGCAGGTGTCAAGAGGCCCCGAATAATGGTTCAGATAAAAAATCTAAAATTCACTTAGGCACTCCGACCGATTTTTATGCCCACCCCTGGTGTAAAATGTTATCAATACTTATGGAATATGCATACAATGCATATGTTGTGCATATATAATACCTATGAAATTCATGTAAAATACATACCGTAAGTTATACGGTACATTTACACTCTTAAAATATGCCTACCTATAAAATACATATGTTACATACATAGAATATATAAAATACATTTGCATATACAATGTATAAACAGCGTGGAGGATTTAAACGCCAAGCTCCACGCCTTTGGTGACATGTTTAAAAGCTAAACGTTTAATACTGAACACACCACAAACCTAAGCACAATTGCATGGAGCTGTGCGTTTAGATCCTCCACGCTGTTTTTTTTTTAGTGTACAAAGGATGTGCATTGAGTTTAATTACAAATAGTATGAATGTCACTCCAAAAATTGACAAGGCCATTTTATTAAACGTTTCGTTTTTATTCAAGCATCATCAGGAATGATTAATTTAATCAGCATCATCAGGGGCAATACCTACCTGTATAGAATATGAAATACATAGGCTTGTTATGCAATTATATACAATCTCCTATCTATATAGAATACGGTACATGTTATGCATACATATCTACTGAATACATATGAAAACATCTGTTTAATATATAGGATAGTTAATACGTTATTGTGCCACGTATGTTCCACATGGATAATCGAAAAATGGTTTGTTGCTTGGAACATAAAACTTTATTTTTTAAAAATACAGTAAAACGAACGCGCCTGCATTCCTCTTCTTTGGACGACTACTAAATTGAGATACTGTAGGCCTATAAACTATTAAAGCAATGCATAAAGTGAGTCAGAGTTGATTAAGTGCAGAACAGTGGCGATGAGTATGCGATTTAAAGTTAGAATCTATGAGAACGCATAGAATTTATTAATCGGCGTTGTGTAGAAAACGGGAACGTGAAGTTTGTTTTGCTCAACTGCGCATGATCGATAAATGCACTTGGCCGCGTCTTCTTTAGAAGTTTAGACTCGCTACATTGCTGATCTTGAAGAAGTGAGCGTGTCCTGTGTGTAACTGGGAATATTGGTAAGCATAGGGTTTACTATGGACTCAACTGAACGGAAGAAGAGAGCTCTTGAAATATTCGTGGAATAAATTTTCTATATTCTGAAACGTCAACCGTGTTCATCTTTATTTTGATTAACTTCAATTGTTTTATATATACATATATAAATATATGTATATGTATATATATATTATATATATATATTGTTTTATATACATATACATATTATATAGGCTTATCCTAACAGTATGGCGATATAGATTGAATATCCGATTAATTATGCAGTTTGAACCATGACCATGACTGCTGCTCACTAATGTAAATAAGAACACCAACAACATATTCACACTCATAAGGCCAAAAAAATTGTGTTGGCCACGTTTTGGGAAAATCCAATTTATTTTTTAACCAAAAATGTGTTTACGCTTAAAAAGTAGAAATTTACACAAATAATACAACAATTTTGAATTTGCATCGCGTACCATGCACCAAAAAATATGCTAGACCTTGGCCCCCTAGCCTAGTCGAAGACTATTTCAGATATTGTTCCTTGTAGTCAAAATAATAATAATAATTTAAAAAACAATAATTAAAATAAAGTAAGATAAAATGCCTGAATTTCGTAAAATTTGGGTCGGTCGGGCGTGGCCAACACAATAACAACACGATAATTGTTTTTATTTAGCCTAAGTTGCTGGTATATTTTAAACACCATATTTATCAACATTCTGTTTATTTTGGTAACCAAAAAGGGGACTTTTTAATATTTCTTTGCAAATATGTACAATTAACGACATTCAACTTTTAATTCTTTTAATTCTTTATTGCGGCCGAGTGTTGTTAAAAATTCCTAAAATTTAACTTTTTAAACCTCCTCATCTATGCTGCAGGGAACTAATATGTATTATTAGTCAATCGTGACGTCATTGTAACTCCCAATGTTATTTCGCTATCCCAAACCGTGTGCACTAATTTGACAGGATTTTTGTTTCATGCATTGATTTAACCTTTGTAAAATAATTTCCATTAGTGTATGATACGCTACTATATCAATTGCTTAATGCATATATTTTGCATAATTTTTTCTCATAAAATGAACTTATCTCATTATAGGTTTATGACGATACAGTTGCTAGCGTGGCTATAGACTGGGTTGCGACGTGTCCAACCAACCACAACCCGAATCGGAATAACTATGGGGAGAATATGGCGTTCAGTACTCAACCTTTTGATGGAGACAGTCTACTGTCAGGGATTGAAGGCTGGTATGAAGAAGTTGGCGACTATACTTATTCCACAGGAGCATGTGAGGCTGGTAAAATGTGTGGCCACTATACACAGGTAAGTCTAATGGTTTTTTTTGTATTTAATTTATTTCATATAAATAATGAACATGGCCTAGTGGACGTCTCATGACTGGGTGTGGTCGAAGAGTTGCTGCCCTATTTGGGCACCTGCGCCCAGCCAACACGAGTCTCGGTTTACGCGCCAACATGTGTCCATTCGGTGATGTTATCTGCCCAGATCCTATATCTTTGAAATAACAAATGCACACACGGCCTCTAAATAATTACCGTATTATTATACCCTCCCCTTCCCCTTTTTCTTTACTGTACCTTTTGAGCGGTGAGTTCTATAAATCATTGAAAAATGAACAAAATAACATTATACAATCATAATAAAACCTTTATTTTAGGTTGTGGACACAAGAAGTTTGAAAGTTGGCTGTGCAACGAATGCGAATCCGTGTTCGGGTGTTACGTACCCGTATGTATTTGTGTGTAATTATGATCCAGCGTAAGTTTTGTATCGTTTTGTAGTTATTGTTTATTTTTTTATAAGTAATAAGAATATTATTTAAAAAAAAAAAAACTTTTATACGTAAGTTCTCGCCAAGATTACACAAGATAGGAAATGCTGAACCTGATAAACTTAGATAAGAGGCTGTCTTGAGAGTGCTGTATACTCAAAGGATTTGATTGGACGAACGGTGTGGTTGCTGCTATATACAATCATGGAGGAATTGTATTCCTCTATGATACAATCCATGTATTGTGTTGACTATAATATCTCTATGTACAATCTTATAGCCTTAATCATCGGCGCAGGTTTGAATCCTATACATCTCTCATGATTTCAGTTGCTTAGGCCTATTTATCAATAACGACAATTCAAATAGAAAGAGAACTAATCAAGAGGATGGTAAAAATAACAATTAGGCCTATATTGTTATAACCAAAATAATAAATAAATAAATAAATACATACTAGTAGTAATAACAATGACGGTTATTGTTATTTCGACATGCTTATATGGCGCTCTACGAGGAACAGAGGGCCTTACACAATTTGCATTACAAAATAAAATAAAATAACAAACAGCTCTACTCAGAGAAAAGAAACGTTTTAATACAACGTTTTGAATAGAAGTGCCGACTTCGCTTTCAGATACGCGGGCGGCAATAGAAAAAGCACTATCGCCAGCTTACTTTTTCGATCTTAAGACGAAAAGCCGGGTGGAAACATTAGAGGAGCGGAGTCGACACCTGTATTTAGTTGCTGATGATGATAATGATCAGAATGATGGTTAGGATGATTATTAATCTCATATTTGTTGTCTCCACTATAGGGGGAATTTTAATGGTCAGAAGCCGTACAAACTCGGATCACGTTGTAGCCTATGCCCAGATGAGACCAAATATTGTGAAGACGAATTCTGTAGTAAGAGAACAACGCCACCTCCCATTATTCTTCCTCTTTATTCTACACGCTCCTATATAC